TTCGAAATCCAGAAATCTAGGAATATAAGATTTTGATATTATTTTTGATTAAATTTAATAAAGAATTTTTCATCTGATAAAAATCCCAAATATAGGAATCCAGGAATTCGGGATTTCGGTATTATTCTTAATTAAATCCAATACGGAATTTATAAAGCAGAAACCAGGTCCGCAATTTTCGTAAAAATCCAAAAATCAAATAATCCAAATCTTTTAGGAAAATATTTGAATAGATTTTTGGATTTTTGGATTTTCAATAAAATCCAAAATCCCAAATTTCTAAGAAAATCCTGGAAAATTTTGATTTTTGGATTTTTAGATTTTTTGATTTCTATTATTCTTTTTTGATTTTTATGAAAAAATCCAAAAATCTTGAGGAAATATAATGGTTTTGTATTCTCAGATATGAAAAATCCAAATATGTCTATTGATTTTTCGTATTCTTCATAAAAATCTTTTAAAAAATAATAATAAATCTATAATTTTCAAAGATTTTCCGAAAAAACAAAGTAGATTTTTGGAATTTTGGATTTTCTTGAAAATCCAAAAATCTAAAAATCTAGAAATCCCACTGATTTTCCTGAAAATTTTGGAATTTGGGATTTTTGGATTTCTCTGAAAATTATCTATCTAATCTCTATTATATATATATTCTAATTTATTTTTATAAAGAATAATCAAATATTGAATTCCTAGATTTGGATTTCGAAATTTCTTAATGAATTCATCAATTTTTCAATCCTTATAAATTATAGAATATGGATAGAAATTTGAAAGATTAGATATGATATCTCCAAATAGCAAATTCATTAGAATTGATAATATTTTCTTGCATTTTTATATCAAGGAAAGACCTGGAAGAAGATCATGAGAAGGATAATCATATATATCTGAATTTAATTTTCGTATTATCATATCTGTAAATTCATCGTATCAAATAAAAGATAAATATATATATATATATCTATCCGTTTTCTCTCTATCATATCCTTCTATTTATGAGCAGAGCGTGCTTCTTAATATGGATATGAATCTGATTTTCTTTATTCTATATCTTTTTTATTTATTGGAAGAAGAATCGAGAACGATTTTAAATATTTATCTATTCCTGATTTTCTCGAGATCATAATTTCCTATTATCATTAGGGACGAAAAGATGATTATGATGAATATCTTCATCTTTATATTGATCTCGCATATATCTTTATTTATCGAGATATCGCAGGCGGAAATCGAGGCGGATCCAATAGATATATATATTTGAAATTATTCTTCCTATATCTCTCAATTTATCGTAATATGAAAAGGCGGAGAATTTAATTGATATGAATATATATATATGATTATCTTTATAATATCTTTCTTTTTGATGAAAGATAAAAAGAGATGCAAATGATATAGATCTATTCCCTTTCAATTTGCCATATTTTTGAATTTATCGGAAGGCAGAGAGAAATTATTTCAAATATATCAATATGATTTTCAATTTTCTTATGATATCTTCTTCACTATCATAAGACGAAAAATAGGAAGAGAATAATATATATCTAATCTTAATTTTCAGTTTATCATATCCTTGATTTTATCGGAAGGCAAAATGGAGATGATTTTATAAATATATATTTAGATTTAATCTATCGGTTGTCATATCTGCCTATTTATATAAGAAATGCAAGATTGATTTGAATATATATCTGAATCCGATTTCTCTCTATCATATATTTTATTTATCATATTCGGAAGATATTTCTTGATATATAGATAGAATTGATTTTCTTGATTTCCTATCTTTCTATTTATCATAATATGAAAAAGAAAATTTCAATATATTATCCGCGTCTTAGTTTTCTCTCTAGCATATATTTTCATTTTTCCCATTTTTAATATATATTCATATATAATATTCAATCTTCTATATCTTTAATTTTATGAGAAATTGAAGCGGAAATAATGACTTGTAGATATATGATATCATTGGTCTTTATTCCTATCTTTTCTGCTTATTTATCATAAGAAATAAAAGATTACTCTATATATATCTATATCCGATTTCTCTCTATTTTATCTTTCTATTTATCATCTTTTGAAAAGAGCGTGATTTTTAATATATCTATAGTTCTAATTTTCTCTTTTCTATGATTTTCTATAGATCCCAAAATGGTGATAATTCTTAATATATGATTGCTATTCAAAAATCAAGTTCCTAAATTCGTATATGACAAGCATCCTCATGAGGGATCGCCTTCTCTCCAAGATAAAAAATCGCCTCTAATGAATTAACTATCACGCAAGGATGATGCTGCTCAATCCCCATATTCGCAGAGATTATGGCTCTATTTATACGACCTATAAGGCAAGCCCATCAAATTCTATAAATGATTCTCGAGATGGCATCCTTATTCGGATCCCCGATGCGCATATATCTTTCGATGCCTGAAGACTCGCCACGAATCTACGTTCGATAATTCTTTTGGAACCGCGAAATCTGATTGAATAGCGCTCGATTGCACTGTTAGTGCGGCTGCTGCTATCTGCACTGGATTTACCAGCACGACGATCCACCACGTCTTGCCGGGGACAACTTTTCTGGCGGCGCATATTCCGGAGAAATGAGAAAGCATCCGGCCCCTTGTCTCGCAGAGCACGCCGCAGAATTTACCATATCCCATATCAAGAGCGATTTTCATATCTGATAATATATTTCATGCCATATTTTAATATATTTCTGATTCCTTGCAAGGCGATAGCCTACAAGTGGAGCATCATCTTGCCAGACCAAGTTCGAATAATTTTTGCTAGTGCCGCGCTAGCGCCAGCCTAGCGCACTAAATTATATCTTTTGTTTTTCTATGTAAATAGATGCATTTAATTAAATTTAAGTTCCGAAGGCACTAACTTATTCTCACGTCTATAAGAGCAAATAAATATTATTGCAAATTTGGAAGATCTTAGTTCCGCCTAAATTTAATGAATGAACGCCGCCGGAAATATTACAAATACAATATATATAATATCCCCAAAATATTTTTATAGCTTTGAGATATACGGCTTAGATTCTTGATCTTTCTCTTTCAAAATCGACCATGACATAAATACTAGTGCCAGACTAACGCTATACTACCGTTTCTAAAGAGGCTTGCCAGATCATCGTGGGGGGCCGCCTCATAACGAAGACTAAAATTTGATCTACCTAAAATTCGTATCTCCTTTATTTATAATTTCGTATATGATTTTTTGAACGCTGACCATATAGCTATTTCCGATTTTCCCATCATCATATCTTCCCATTTTTATTGAAGAATGATTTTGTTCATCTCTGGCAAAATGAAGCCCATTTTATTATCTGCGCATACCTAAATTTCCTTCTCATCTATCATATCTTACTATTTTTGCAAGGCAAAAAGGAGAGGATACAAATATATATGTACGTATCTAGCTTTTTCCCTACATCATATCTTTCTAATTATCATAATGGGAGGGGAGATTTCAAAATATATCTACGTCTCGATTTTCTCTCTATCATATTTGATCGTAAGGGGAAAGGGGGGGTCTTAAATATATATCTATGCCTGTTTTTTCCTGTATCATATATTTTCTATTTATTGTGGTAAAATATGGATCGTTCTACCGACTAAAATATTAGTATGCAGGTTTCAAGCAGGGTATGGTGAATGCATATTTTCATCTATTAGGGAAGGGAAACGTTGGTTTCAAAAATGCGTGATATACGTCGATTTCGGGGTCCTGGGCCTTGTGGTTAGATTTAAATATTGGGTGCAATGTCCTGTTGGCGAAGCGATCAATTTCATCAGTTGGAGTATTGCATGATCTTGTCTATTGTCCGTTGTGAGTTGCGGCCGGTTGTGTTAAATCAGCCGTTAAAAGTTGGCTTGGCCTTCCCGAGGCCAAACCTGAACAATTTAGAAAGTCAGCTTGCCAACGTAGCGCTTGCACATCAGGCTTGGGAGCGGGCGATCCTCGTGCAACCATGACAACGGTGATAACATGGAATGGATCATTCAACATACCTGCAATGGCGAGTATCAAATTACAGACCTTTAAACACTAAACCTTAAACATTATGCTACTAGTTTCTTTTTGAATTCAACATCCGGATTATGCGTCTGAGGACCGGTAGCCCGCCTCACAAGCATGGCAGGCGTGTTTTAAATCAATTCCGGCAAAGACTGTAACATGACCTTTGATCATGCTCCGAACTGTTCAATGGCATCTTTGCCAGTGTAAACATTGGCGGCAATGATGCCGATGGCAGCAAACATGGCGAATCTGCCATTGTTGATCTCGCGGTTGCGCATCTCCAGGGTGTACCTGAACTGTACATCTTGCTCATGCTCTGCAACAGCCCTGAGCACAACACCATTTGTGTGTCAACCCTTTGCCCTTAACGCTATGGGCCAGTTGAGGGTTCAAGGTTTGGGGCGTATAATGGCTGTCGAGGTACTGGTTCATAAGCCCTGTATGTCTCTGTACCTATACTGCGCATTAATTTCGTGTGGAATTTGATCCTTTACTGTTCACCGGAAGTCCTGTACCTGTTTCAATCCCTCTACAGCCCCATTCAATGGAGAATGTAAACCTATTATTATATTATAATCATTGTACTACTCTCCACGGCTTTGCTTGTTTAAGATTTGTTCAAGCACTTTAAACCGGAGCCCCGGCTACAATGCTGACCCGTGAGAACCGAAGCGTCTAGATTGGCTCGCCAAGCCTGAGATAACCACTGGTTTACCCTAAACCCTAAACCCTAAACCCTCCAACTCAAACTCCATTCCCTTCTCCGCCCCTAAACCCGAAACCAGGAAACTGCTTTCACTGCTCCTGAACCCTAATCTGTCCCCGTAACCCTAAACTAAATCCCAAGCCCTAGGCCCTAGGCACAAACCCCTGAACCTCTAAACCTAAGCCCTACATCCTAGCACCTAAAGCCTAAATCCTAAAACCTTACAAACAGGGCGGGCGAAGTACTTATTCAAGCCGACAACCTGAACCCTAAGCCCCACAGACCTGAGCCCTGCAGACCCAGCCTAAACCCTAAACCCCAATCCCTCAACCCTAAACCCCAGATCCCTAAACCGAAACTCTAGACCTCCAAACTCAATTCCCTAATTGAACCTTAATCCCCACCCAAAACCCTGAACCCTAAACCTTCGAGGCGCTGGTTCAAGCCAGCGGGGTCACCGAAGTTGCCTGGCTCCTTGGAGGGATCCTCCGTCCATGCACCCAGCTCCAACAGGCCGGCCACCTGGGTTTTGGGGTTTAAGGCTCAGGGTTCAGGGCTTAGGGTTTGGGGTTTGGGGATTAGGGTTTAGGTCTGGGGCTTGGGGTTTAGGGGTTAGGGTTGATGGCGTAGGGTTTATGGGGTTTAGAGTTTAAGGTATAGAGACATTCAAAAGACTTAGAATTTAGAGCTTGAGCCTTAGATTTTCAGGATCGGGTCTAAGGCGCTTTCAAACGACTTGGGGTTCAGAGTTGCGGGCTAAGGACTTTACAGTTCAGAGTTCGTATTGCTTTCAAAAGATTCGCTTTGAGTTTGGGGTTTAGAGTTAAAGGCGTTTGGCTTTAAGGCCTGTATGACAGTGCACTTGCGTTATCCAGTAGGAGACTATGGGATATTGTTTTGTCCTAACCAGTTGGAAATTGAGCTTTCGAAAAAAGGGATTCAGGAGTTGAGGTTGAAGGCCTTTATTCAAGTCTTCCCATCCAACCCCTTAAATCTGAGACCTTGACCCCTAAAGAATCCTCAAACACCGACAAACCCCTAATCCCTAAACCAATGGTAGTATCCAGCCACTGCGAACAGCGCAGCAAAGCCGTAGGTGCCCGGAGCTACCTCCACCGCTGCCAGGCCGGACGGCACGTTCCTTTCTTCTATAATCAGGGTTCAGGGTTTAATCTTTGGATTAGGAGCTAAGCTGTAGGGTTTTGTGCTTAGGGTTTAGTGTGGAGGGTTGCAAGCTTGTTTCATAAAGGCCAAATGTGCAGACCGAAAAAGCTTGTAAAATTCTCCATTGAGGAAGTAAGGTTCTCGAAGCCCGGGAATTTCACGTAGTGCTGGAAGACGGCGCCCACCTTAGTATAGCAGGCTCAATGAATGCAACATCAGTTGAGGTCTATTAGAGATACCCTATTTCATACGCTACAAGCACTCTAGTACTAAAATGTTATTCTGGAGTCCCCTACAGTACCCATGTTTCAGTGGGATTGGGAAAATGAATCCTGTCATCGTAGCGCCTGGCAACCCCCTCCCTCTTTTCATTATGCTATGCGCCCGCATTGCCCCTAAACAGCTCAGCTCCCCAAAAACTGAAGTACTCTCCATTACTTTTCTTTTCCATAACCTTACACCACAAAACTCTAAAGTAGTTTCTCCACTTCCTTCGCCACAACCCAGAACATTTTGTTGTCCATTCCCTAAACCTTAAATCTTAAATCCTACAAGCCCATAATAGTTTCCGCCTCCCGAAACACTAAACTTAGACCCTAAGCCCCACAATAGCTTCCATTTCCCTAAACCTTAAACCCTATACTAGTTTTCATCTTGTTCCCATCAGTTACCTAGACCTTAAACACGATCAACCTATGTAAGCTTCCATGTTTTCTTTTTCCTAAACATTGAACCCTAAGTTCCAGTATTGTTCCTATTTTCTTCTCTAAGCCTTAGACCCTAAACCCTACCGTAATGGTCCTCTTCTAAACCCTTGACACTAAAAACCTGAACCCTAAACCCTAAATTGTAGCTTCCAAAGTCCCTAAACCCTAACCTTTGTCAGGCCGCGGCAGCCATCATAGCCACTCTGCCATGCTTGATCTCAGCGGCCCGCAAGTTGCGAAACCCTGCCTTGTCCTGGGTTCATTTTTCCGGACAGGGTTGGTTTAGGGTATAAGGAACTAAAATGAAGTTACTGTTTTACGGAAACAATATTATTCACTACATATCCACGGTATGGTAATGCGGAAATTATATAAACGTCCCATTATATGGGGAATCCGTATTATGGTAACTTCATCCCTTAGCCGCAAACCTTTGATTATGGTGTAGGCTGTATATAACCCCTACAACCCTTGTCAAAAGAAAATATCATGGTAACCTTCCTGGGGGGCCTACATGCAAAAATCTCACATACCCCAAACTGCCCAAAGACTAGCCACATGGGGCACCAGCCGAAGCCCTAAAGCCACAAAGCCTGTAGCCCATGCAAACGCAAACTGTATGGGGCAAAAGTAGAGGCAACAACTCGGTCAAAACCTGCCCAAAACTTTTGACCTGAACCCTAAACCCTAAAACCTGAACCCTCAACCGGCGGAATCTTTTTTCATAGATGTGGCTCACCTTTTTATTCATAGGCGTGGCTCATCTATTTTGGGGGGGCACGCTCATCCTTGTGACCGTTGGCACTTTTGCCATGCAACGATCAAGTGACAGCTCAAAAACGGCGACGATTATGACGATGGCCGCCCCGACGCGCCTGATCCCTGTGATTGTTGGCACTTTTGACACGCAAACCACATGTGACAGCCCAAAAGCGACAGTTACGAGAATGGCGACTCCGACCCGCCTGATCCCGGTGTCTGTTCACACTTTTGACACGCAAAAAAACATGTCAAAGCCCGAAAACGAAGACACTTGCGAGGATGGCGACCCCGACCCGCCCAATCCTTGTGACTGTTGACGCTTTTGACACGCAAAAAAGATATCAATGCACAAAAGCAATGACAGTTGCGAGGATGGCGACCCCGACCCGCCTGATCCTTGTGATGGTTGACACTTGTGACACGCTCACTTACCAACGCTCGCAATATTGTTATTTACCGTATTGTATTTGCCGAAAGGCGCAAGTGTAGCTAATGTTCGAATATTCTTGCGTTACAAAAATTCAAAATGCAATTCACTTAACCTCCCAACAGTTTCAACTGCTGTGCCGTATTTTTAATCGTTTCCAGAACTCGAAATGCCGTCATTTGCAATGTCGGTAGCCCTTCAGAATTGCAAAAGTCAAGCTCCAAACATACAAAAGCATGTAGGTGCTTGCGAAGCTGGGCTTCAAAAAGCAGTGGGGTTGGAGAAACGCACCGCCTTCTTTCTCATCGGATAAACGTGGGCAATGGTAAAAACACGTACAACGTATAGGCTACCTAAAATCACCACAAATTGGGATCAGATTTGCCAGGCCGTAGCTTGCTGCAAAACAAAGAAAGCTGTAGATTCACTGATGCGGAGTTTGTGCCTTCAGAAAAAAACAAGACTCCCGAACCAGTGTGCTGCAACGACAAAATAGCGGGGGATTGCGGGTGGTGCAACCCACCTTTTGCAAAACATGGAGGAAGATCAGAAGATGCATTTCCTTCCCCGTTGTTTGATGGGTTGTCGCCCGCCGACCCCTCCTCACTCTTCCTCCGTCGCGCAAACATTTTGGACGCGCCCTTTTCGTTAAAAATCACGCTCCCGCGCGGAGCATCCGGAAAATTCCATCGATTTTTTCAAAACACTATAAAAACAAAATAGCTCCTTCCCCTTTTAAAGTATATTCTTCTAGGCCGTTCGGCGTCCGAACCGGACGCGCCGTATATCGCTCAAAAATGACCCTCCTGTGCGGAGCATCCTCAAAATTTCGTCGAGTTTTCGTGCAGAACGTTCTTAAAATTTCATTGATGCTTCATCAAAAATAGCGTTCCTGCCCTGAGCATACTCAAAATCTTGTCGCTTGTTCTTCAAAAATACATTAAAAAATAGGTTTTCGTCCGGAGCATCGTGCTCGCAACATCCTCAAAATATCGTTGATTTCTTCTAACTTGGGCTCCCGCGCGGAGCATCCTCAAATTCCGTCGTTTTTTCATCGATATTCCATAGTATATAGGCCGGTCTCCTTCTAAAGTAGTCTGCTAAACCATTCGGTTACCGAACAGGACGCAACCTATATCGCTAAAAAATTGCGCTCCCGTGCGGAGCATCCTCAAAATTTCGTCGATTTTTCTTCAGAAACAACCAAAGCGTTTTCGTGCGGAGCATCCCAAAAATTCCATCGTTTTGTCATCAAAAATTGCGCTGGCCTGCGGAGCATCCTCAAAATTTCGTTGATTGTTCATTCAAAATTGTTCTCCCGTGTTCCGTTTTTATTGCTCACCCAAGCGTTTTACAAGCCGGGCTGCCTGATGTCATGGAATACTGGACTCTTCGGGAGTACGTGGAGTTAGTGCTGCTTCGCACCGCATCCAATTCGGCAAGACGCGAAAGCCTGCAAGCCGTGCGGGAGCGTGTTTCCGAACAGGAAGCGTTGGAGGCCTGCGCCTTTGCCTTCGGTTCCATGGATGGAGACGAGGATTCCTTACGTGGTGTGACACTGGAATGCAAACCTTTCAACGTGTTTGGCATGAGTTGCTGGAAGAGTCAGTTGCAGCTGATCGACTCGAGTTACCGCGAGCAATCGGACCATGTTTTGGAAATTCTGAAATTGTGTTCCTGACGAGGTCAGTCCCCTGTTCACACGCAGGAGAGGTGGATTGCCGCATCACCCGGGCGTGGCTCGGTGGCCTCTGCTTGCTCTTCTCGAAGCTCGAGCACAGGGGGCAAGGAAACGGAGCCGAAGGAGAAGCTGGAAGCCACCAGTGTGAAGGGTGTGCATCATGGGGTCAGTCTTTTCGATTCCGAGCGTTGCGATGTTTGAAGTTTCTGCTCTGCGAAGATTCCTACTTGGCACCCGGTCTGAGCGCGCGACCCAAGATGGGGAGGTGCGGCAGACCGCCAGCATGATCTAGCCCGGCCTGGAATCCTCAATGAGTGCAGCCTATATGCTTCTGTGAGCATCTAAACGCATGGCCTCAGCAGACCGAAAACATTTGCACAGAACGAACCACATTTACCCAGAGAATGTAATGCTGCATATATATATATGCAGTTACACTCTTCCTTCATCCAGTTCACTCTATCCGCATCACAGGCTCTGTCGCTTCTTGCACCATGTGATAGGTTGTGTTTTGCATTTCGCATGCCTTACGAAATAGGAGAGGGGTTTCGGGAGCCTATAAGCCCTAAACCCATTTGCAGAACATTGACGAAGATCAGAACACACTAGCTGCCTGCAACCGTTGACAGGCTGCTTTTTGCATCGTGCTTGCACTACGAAATAGCGGGGGGGGTTCGGAGGAGGCGCAGCCTCCCCCTTTTGCAAAACATCAGAACACCTCACTTCTTGCACCCTTTCATACCTTGCGTTTTGCACTTCGCTTGCCTTACGAAATACGAGGGCGCTTGGGCAGGGCCTATAAACCCTAAATTCCATCTGCAGAACACGGAGGAAGATCAAAACACACTACCTTCTTGCAAATGTGTTGATGGTTGTTTTTTGCTTTGCTCTTGCATTACCAAATAGCGGGGTGGTTTGGGGGGTCGCAGCCCCCCATCTACAAACCATCGACGAAGATCAGAACACACTGGCTTCTCACGACCGCTGATAGTTCTTTTGCATCGTGCTTACATGCTTACATTACGAAATAGCGGGGGTGTTGGGGCGGGCGCCGCCCCCCCATCTGAAACATCGACGAAGACCTCAGTTCCTTTGCAACTGGTGACAGGTTTTTTGCATCGCGCTTGCATTACGATATAGCAGGGAGGTTGGGCGCGATTTGCAAAACACGGACGAAGATCAGCACACACTTGCTTCTTGCAGCCAATGATGGTAGGTTTTTGTTTTGCAATTACGAAATAGCGGGGGGGGTTGGGGGGCAGCCACCCCCCTATTTGCAAAACGTGGACGAAAATCAGAACACGCAGCTTCTTGCAACCCTTTTACGGATCTGTTTTGCAATGCCTACTCTTCCGAGAGGCGCAAATTCTGGAACTTAAAACGTTCTTCACCTTCCAAGAGCTCGAAATGCTGTAATTCACAACATGCGTAGCCTTTCAAGAGCCGCAAATATGCGTAACCTTTCAAGAAGCGCGAGCATTGTATTTGCAGTTTTCCTTGTTTTTCAAGTCGTAGGATTTCAAAAACCACAAATATCGTAATTTGCAGTAGTCCTATCTTTTCAAAAGCTCCAAAAGCTGTATTTTGCAGTATTTCTAACCTTCCCAAAGCCGCAAAGGGTCAAGAGACCAGAGAACCATAGGGGACCAGAGTCAGAGGACCAAGGGACCAAGGGACCAGAGGACTAGGGAACCAGAGGACCAGAGGACCAAGGGACCACAGGACCAGCGGCTCTGGGCCACGCTTAAGGAAGCCAGACCTAACTGAGCCACACCTATGATACAACTAAACCTAAACCCAGAACCCTACTCTTGGGTAATTTAACTTGAACTCCTCAACAACAACCCAGAGTCCCCCTTCTTGCAGAATCCGGCGGGGTCAAAGTACCCGAAGGGCTCGGTCACACCAACCTAGTGGGCTTCAAGAAAACAAACCCTTTGGAATACCTGCTGCGGGGGTTAGGGCTTTGACGGTTTAGGGTAGAAAATACCTGCCCTTGGGCGTCTATAACTAATACCTACTTTGGGCCCCAAAGTCTATAAATAGTACCTACTCTGGGCTATTTGGGTACTGTATCGGTTAAGGTTTCGGGGATAGATAGATATATATTTTATCATGTACTTTGGGCTCTTATGCTCGTACTCGTTATGTAGATTTTGAAGAGTGTGTGATACGTGTATAGGTCGGACCCTCATTCCCTACCCCTTTTTAGGGCATTCGCTTCCTGTCTGGTATCTCTTACATACAGAAGTAGGGGTGTAAGGGTTCGGCTAGGGTTTGGGCTCAGGATTTAGGATAAAGAATCTTCATGGAGGGGAAACTCCTCTGATCTCTTTATCATAACGATGTATACATATGCTTAAATAGATATATACATATGCTTTGTGTTGGGTGTATACTACATATGTACTGCGTTGTACTGTAACCGCTATTTACCATGTATATTATGATGATGATGGTGAGAATGATGTTGATGATGATGAATGATTGATGTGTATCTATATATGTACAGATGCGAGTTATACAAAACAAGAAGCCGATATATGCCGACGCAGATTAAGACTACTAATACACAAGTATATACATGTTCCTGGGCCCTAAACAATACTCTTCGAACCCTAAACCCAAACTGTTGTACAAGTCCCGCCTCATTGGCCGGGTCGAAGGCGGGCTCAGGGGGCACATCCTCACCCTCGCCGCTCAGGGACTTGCCGGTTCCGGCGCCGACCTTAACAGTCGTCAGCGGCGAGTGGAGGAAGGGAACAAATGGAAACCATTTCAGCCATAGTCTAAACTCCTAGTATCCCGCTTAATAAGCTCTATAATCCTCCCCCATAGAATCCCTTATATATCCCCCTTTTAGGAGTTTAGACTATAGCTCGTTTAAGGCTAGGGGTTTTAGGGTGGGAAATGGAGAAATGGATCATTATAGTAGCCGTGACCTTCTGTAGTCCCCCACAACATATCCCAGCAAGTCCAAGAACTCAATAATTAGGTACTTGAGTTTGGGGTAATAGCAGTTGTAGTACGGGTTTCGGATAAGTACGTGAATAATTTGGTACTTGTTCCCTTAGGATGATAGTTGTCATTTTATTTTCCATTCCTGCATTCCCATCTCTTAACCAGCAAGCAACGCCAGTAGTGGCAGCCACGGTCTTCGCGCCGGCGCTGGCCCCCGCCTCTTGATCATTCTGGTTTGTCTGTTCGAAGTTTGGGTTACTATCATCACTAGTCTCGTTGTTACTTGCCGGTGACTCACCCAAAAGAAACCGCATGTTTGAAAAGTTCTTGCTCACCTACCTTAACCTGTTAACCTTTAACCCTGAACCCTCAACCCCCATGGAAGATCAACCAGAACCCCCAATTTCTCGTACAAAGGGATCTATGGAGGTCCTACTGGAGAGCATTTGGATTCTGTACAAGGAACTTGGCAGGTCTGGGCTAAAACATTTGTGTGCAGTAAGGGCCTCAAATACCAATATCATGCTTCTTGATTCCTGGTAAAACATAGTATGACGGTGTGCCTAAACCCTAAACCCTAACCCCTAAGCCCTAAGCCCTGAACCATACAACCCTAAACAATAAACCCTGATCTCCTGAAACCTAAACCTCTAAACCCTAGACCCTAAACCCTACATCCCTATGTCCTAAACTCCTAAACCCTAGAGCCCTAAACCCTATACATCCCTAAACCCTACGCCTTAAACACCTAAACCCTTGAACCCCTAAACCCTATATCCCTAAACCCTACAACCCCTACAGCCCCGAAACCCTACATCCTAAACCCTGGGATGCGTCTGGATTTTGCTATCAGATTTGACTTCAAACCGATTTTACGTCATGCCCCAAAGGGGTGCTGTAGTCAGCCAGGGGCTTAACTTGAAATCGATTTCAAATCACTCATAGGTGGTGTGTCCAAGCACAAGCAGGGACTTAAAAATTGATGTTAAGTCTTTTTCGTGGTGCAGCCTCCCAGGCCAACTTGGTAGTTTCCCAAACTAAAGGGACCCCAATATAGACCACTGTATACTATAATACTTATTATGGGGACCTCCAAAAAAGGTAACCCTAATTTTAGGAAAGCCCGACTTGAAATTGAATTTTACGTCTTGCGCATGCCCGTCATTGCTATTAATGGAAACCACTCCTTGTTTCTCTCTAGCGGAACCGTTTTCTGGTCCGTTGTGCGCAGACTGACGTCAGCTTACGCTTTCGCTTGGCCTTTTTCTGACACTTGCGGACCTCTGCTACAATTTGTCTGTTCCTCCAAGCTTCTCAAAGGACCCGACATGTAAATATGTTCTGGTTACCTGGGATTTCGTAAGCGCCCTTTCAAAGGGAACGTTCCAGTAAGTCATTTTTTACATGGCATTGCTTAGGGGCCTTTACGTTTGAAAGGGACCCGATGTGTAAGCACTTTCTGGTTACTTGGGATTTTGTAGAGCTTCTTTTTGAGAGGAACGCTCCTATCAGTCAAGCTCTTGTTACCTAACATGGCTTACGGGCTTTTCAAGGTTTGAAAGGGACCCGATATGTGAGTCATTTCCTGTTACTTGAAGTTTAGTAAGGGCCTTGTGTAAGGGAACTCTCCCATACGTTTGTTTCTTGTTACTGTGGATCTCGCAAAAGCTTCTAAATGAGTACAGTAGGGCCTTCACGTGTGACCTAGACAAACGGAAATCAGGCCCATACTTATATAGTGGATTACAAGGATTAGGGTTTCCGCAAATTAGCACCCCCTTTTTGGGTCCATAGACAATGGTTATAATATTGCGGGCCCTCATTGGGGCATAGTTCAGACATTTGCGAAGGGGCTGCAAGAAAGAGTTGCACATTCGACATAGCAATTTTTTGGCTAGTGCCATTCGCGTAGTTTACATATACTCTGAACCCTGAACAATCTACCCTGGAATGATTGTTTTTATAGGTCAACCTTTTGGAAAGAACATAATTGAATATAAAGTCTAGGAAATCAGCAATGCCGCGTTTAATTTCATTCTAAGACCTGCTGGACAAACTCTTGCATGAGGAGAACTTGAAATCGATTGTAAGCATTTGCCATGGACTATAAACTTAAATCTGGTTCGAAGATCTACTAGACAAGCTCTTGTACGAGGAAGACTTGAAATCGATTTTAAGTACTTACCGTGGAATAAAAGCTTACAATCAGTTTCAAGACCCACCTCTCGAGCAAAACACTGACCATTGATTTCAAGTCTCTGGAAGCTGGAGGAATGGGAAATGGGAAATTAAAATCTAAACCCCCACATCCCTAAACCCTAAACCCGTAAACTCTCAACTTGCCTTGGCGGCAGCCGCCTTAGCCGCTGCAGCGGCCGCAGCCGCGGAGACGGGCTCGGCTCGAAGGGGCGAGGCCTCAGAGAAGGGTTCAAGGTTTACGGGTTTAGGGTGTATAGAAACTGTATAGGGTTCAGGTCGGGAGTCTTGAGCGACTTTTGGGCGAATTTTTGACGATGCGGAAAACAAAAGCTTTTGTGTTTTTTCTAACCCTGCCTCGCAACTTTTTGGGGAACACTGCTTTCAAATGGCTTCATGTGGAAGCAATTTGGCGCCAAAAAAACCCAACATGCTCAAATTGGCTCCCAAAGGCCCAAATAGGTTCCAAAAGGGGCAAAATAGCCTCAGTTACTCCACAAATTGCCTTAAAAAGTTCAGCGGTCCCAAAATTTAAGCATTGGGACCCAAATTTGGGGGTTTGGGTGTCCTAAAATGACGATTTTGGACAAAGCTTCGCCATTCTCGGGCCGCCAAACATTACCAAAACTGCCCCAAACGGCCCTTAGGCTTTAGGGCCCAAATTTGGTGGTCTGGGGAGCAATTCCCAGGCCGCAAAAATTAAGCAAAAATATTCAAAGTTGAGGAAAACTTTTAGGAAGGCATGCCAGTCGGCTTTGCGGTCCAAATTTGGGATTTGGTGGTCCAAAAAAAACATTTTTATTCTCGAGCCCTGGAGCCGAAATTTGGTGGTTTGAGACCACCAAAATGGTCATTTTTGACCCAAAACGGCCATTCTTGGGCCGCCCAAAATAGCCCAAAATGCACAAGATAGGGGAAAATCCCTAGGGATGCCCGAAGGCTCTGGAGCCGGAATTTGGTGGTTTGGGGCCCCCAAACTGGTTATTTTTGACCAGCCTAAGGGCCTCCCTAGGGGTTGTCCCCTATTGGGTCAAAAATGACCCGTTTGGTGGCCCCAAGTTTGGGATGCGGCTCAGAGCCTAGGGGCCTCCCTAGGGCCCCTATGTTGAGCATTAAATGGCCGTTTTGTGTCAAACATGACCATTTTGGGGACCCCAAAGTACGAAATTTCGGCTCCAGAGCCCAAGGGCCTCCCTAGGGATATTCCCTTATTTTTTTCCATGTTGGTCCATTTTGAGCGATCCAGCTTTTTGTCAAAATTGACAATTTGGTGAATCCAAACCATCAAATTTCGGCTCCAGAGCCTAGGAGCCTCCCTGGATATTTTCTCCTACTTTGTGCGTTTTTGACCGTTTTGGGCGGCCCGAGAATCTCATGACCTCCTTCAGGATTTTTCCCTATTTGGTATATTTTGGGTCATTTTGGGCGGCCCGAGCGAGCATAACCGTTTTTGATGCAAAATGACCTTTGTTGTGGCCTCAAACAACGAAATTGTGGCTCCAGAGCCTAAGGGCTTTTCCCAGGATTTTCACCTATTTTTGTCATTTTGGGCCATTTTGATCAGCCCTGGCCGTTTTGTGTCAAAAATGACCATTCTGGGGGCCCCAAACCACGCCAGAGCCTAAGGGCCTCCTTATGGAGCATTTTGGGCCATTTTGGGCGGCCTGAGCATTGTCCAAAATTACCATTCTGGGCGGCCCAAACCACCAAATTTTGGCTTTGGTCTCAAATGGCCGTTTTGGGTCAAAAATGACCAGTTTGGGTGCCCCAAACCACCAAATTTCGGCTGCACACCTTCAGGGACTCCCTGAGGATTTTTCTCTATCTTTGGATTTTGTAGCCGTTTTGGGTCAAAAATAACCATTTTGGTGGCCCCAAGCCACCAAATTTCGGCTCCAAAGCCTAAGACCCTCCCTAAGGATTTCCCGTATTTTGGACATTTTTGTTCATTTCGGGCGGGCTGTTTTTGGTCAAAAATAGCAATTTTAGCGGATCCGTAGCCTGCTCCAAAGCCTAAGGGTCTTGCTAGGGGCTTCTAGAAAAACGGCTATTGTCGGGGCCGATCGACATGGTCCAAAATGCCCAAAACAGGTCAAAGTCCTGGGAAAAGCGCCCAAAATGGCCCAAAATGTTCAAAATAGGGAAAAATCCCTAGGGAGGCCCCTAGGCTCTGGAGCCGAAAAATTTGATGGTTTGGGGCCCCCAAACTGGTCATTTTGGACCAAAAACGGCAATTCTCGGCCAGCCCAAAATGCCCAAAATAAGGGAAAATCCTTAGAGGCCCCTAGGCTCTGGAGCCGAAATTTCGTGGTTTGGGGTCATTTTTGACCCAAAACGGCCATTCGAGACCAAAAAGGCCCAAAATGCCCAAAATAGGGGAAATCTCTAGGGAGGCCCTTAGGCTCTGGATCCGAAATTTGGCTGTTTGAGGCCTGGACAAAATGCACAAAATAGAGGAAAATCCATAAAAAGGCCCTTAGGCTCTGGAGCCCAAATTTCGTGATTTGGGGCCACCAAAATGATCGTTTTTGATCAAAAACGGCCATTCTCGGGCCGTTCAAAATGCCCCAA